ACGAAACGTGGAAGCACTTTCAAATAACTTCCCCCCTTTGCTGAGGTGTGAATGCTGCAAAGTAGCTTCTCTCTTTAACCACACTTACCTCTCCAGGCCAAGTACAAAGAAAACAAAACAAAAAAGTGAGTGTATCAGAAAGTGAAAGTAGATCAGAAGCATAGACAAGTCAACAGAAAGAACTGCTTCCAGAACACCTAACCGCATTTCCACAGGTTTGTATCTCTAATGTTTTTTGTATCTAGCTTTTCTCTAACCTGCCAGGCCCACAGTGCCCCGTTCCTGTGTTGTGACCTTCCAGTGAAAGAAAATGGGACTGGACAAACGCCTGACTCTACCCTGTGGTTAGCAGGGGCCCCCTGACACCGGGACACAGAGGATTTGCCACAAGCAACTAAAAGCATTTCTGCAGAACTGGTCTGACAGCATGCCGTCAGCATAAGTGTTAAAAACAGTACAGAAGAACTATCAAAACCACTAACTTCCCCATACAGCAGTAAAACAGTTCGCTTCAATAATTTTTTCCGTCTGTAAAAAGCATCCTTAAAATGCTTCTGTGCGTATTTAACCCTTAGTAACATCCAATATTTCTGCCAACTGTTTACTCGCTGGCTTTCGAGTAAGTGTTCCTGTGACTATTGAAACACCCGTGCAACGTTCTACACAAACAAGGGCTTCAGGGTAAGATGCACAAATCATTCAAACAACACTAAAACAAGTCAAGAAGGTAACAGCAAGTCCCCTAGCACAGCGTGCTGTTCTCATCACAAACGCCTTTCATTAAAAAGTTAAATTAGCACCCTACAAGCTCCCACAAGGCACGTTACGAGACCCTCTTCTGTTTTCTGTTACCCTGCCTGTGGGTACCAGAAAGAAACTACACCTTGGTGACACCAGGTTTTTTGGCCACAGATGAATTTTGAGAAGACCACAGAGGAAAAGTAAGTATGCCCAAACTCTAAGCACGCAACGGAACGATTACCTGAACTGCTGGATGGATGTGCCACTGAGCACAAATCTGTGTCAAAACCAGGCACACATGGCATAAAGTTCCCGATAAGGAAGACATCTGTCAGGTAGAAATCTAGAGTCTCGTCTTAGCAACTTTTAAGAAGTTAATGTTGCCAAGGCATCATTTACACTGGTTAGTGCTGAGGCAGCAGGAGCAGCAAATTAAAAGGATGAGCTAGCCCAGATTTGGTCAAGGCACTTGGGTTCTTCTACCATTTCCAGAAACGCATTTCAACGTTCTGACAGGAGAAATACTTCGCAGGAAGTACAAGGCTGCATCACAAGTTACGTAACTCCGTACTCTGAGGGTTTAGAGGTAGAGCTGGCCATTTGCAGTGCTGACACCTCAAGAGCTCTTGCTCTGCTCGGAACGAATTGCTCATCCCTCACGGACTCCGTGATACCGGCAGACACTAGTCATGGAGATGAGCACACGACTGGAAGGCACTCAAAACCCAAGATAATGGGGATGTGGCACAGGAGGCCATACAGGAAAATATACTCTTATCTGTAAGGTACAACTCTAAGATCTGAACACCTCTTCATTACCCAGCCTTAATTGAGGTGTATGAAACAGGATCAGAGGGCAGCTGCTATAGCAATAGAGTAACTCTTACAATAAAAAAAGGTGCAAATATTAAACATTACCACATATTAAGGCAGAAAAGCTAACGTTTACTCCAAAATACAGACAGTCCTTATTCAACCTTCTCTGGACATTTGCACATTTCACGTCCATCCTTTGCAGGAAAGAAAAAGCGGACGAACAGCACGGAAAAAGGGGAAGCCCACCTAAAACTCAAGAAAAACATCTATATTGCTTTATTGAAAACCCCGAGATGTCCAGCTAAATCGATATTTGGAGCGTCAGGAGAGAGACCAATAGCTTAATGTAACTTAATGTAATTAAATACACACTGATGGAATACACTTGGCAGGGTCCCTCTCGAACAGCATCACACAAGCCACCAGCAGGAGAACGTTTTAGTCTGCAAGATTTAATGCTTTTAGCTGAGGGCCTGAGGACTGCCACGAGGTGTCACTGCTAGAGATAGAAAGAAACTCGACAAGTGTTATCCCACTTGCACGAGTGCTGGGTATTAAAATCAAGGCTGTGGTTGCCCATGAGGGCGTATTTAAACCATTTACAAAAGGGCAAGATATTAGACAATTTCGCACAAGGAAAGACTAAACAGACTAGAATTCTTTTGCTCGCAAGGGAAGTTGGAAGGGGAACAGGAGAAAGGTCTGTAAAATCACAGACTGGGTGAAGGAGAGTAAACAGGGAATGATTCTTTGCAGTTTTTCACCATAAATGCCTTAGATGATAGGCAAGGACATTATAAGACAGAACAACTAAAAGAGTTCTTCTGCATACACAAAGCAGAGTTAAACATGGAATCTACTCCCTTTGGGTATTGTGGGGGCCAAAGTATAAACGAGTTCAATAAACAACCAGACGACTTTCCAGAGTCCACCTGAGGCTGTCAGACCCACCAGGCTCATGCAAGCCTCAGCTCAGGAACACCCTCAAACGCCAACTGCTGCAAGCGAGGGCAGAGAGACCTTCCCCACAAACCTCCTCCCTGCTGGCTCCCAGCAGCGCAGGGGGCTGCCCAGATCCAGGGCTGAGGACCACACGCTTATGCTGACCAAGCTGCTCCTTTGTTAACGAGCAGCCAGAACAGCTCCCACTGAAACAAACTGCCGGGCCCCATCCTGCAACCACCAACACACGCATCACCACAGGGCGCAGCGCCCACCAGGCAACCCAGCGCCGTAGTGCTCCCCGATAAACCTGCCCTGGGCTGGCATCAGGCTTCTGCTGAGCCAAGATAAGAGACACGTCACCGAGGACCCCACCTATCAGTGACGCTGACAGATCTTCAATACCCTTCCAGTGTGCCACTCCAAATCTGGCCTCGCATATCCTAGTGTTCAGGGAAAAGCAAGCTGGCATACGAAACAACTGAACTGTGCTGTGACCGGCATCGTATTCTCCTAATATCAGCTGACTTTTCTTTCCTCCTCACTAACTCCAACCATCACTTCAAGATAGCATGTACAGTTTGTTTTTCTTCTCCTATCTGAACTAAGGATGTGCCAAGATGCCTTACTTGCAGGTTCCGGTTACCTCCACTGAAACATTATTGAACCCAACAACCGACCATAACTTCAAAAATACACTGAATGTTCACAAATTCACTGACATTTACTCCACACTGCAAAGCGTTGAGGAGCGCACAACTCTTGAGACAAGTAACACAAGTAAAGCCTACGAGTGTGCTTTAAGGAAAGGATGTTAAGTCTCATTCATACCAGGGAGAAAATAATTAGAAAATACAATGCCAGAGAAACACCCTGAGGTGCACACAACACTTTCACACACACTCTCTCCCTCTAGCAGCCATTTCAACTAGCGCTTCTTGCGATGCTTGTGAAGCACAATCATTATTTTTTCACAGGCTGCCACCTGATTTCAGCATCATCTTACAGATTTATCCTCTCATTCTCTTCTTCAGACAAAGAATTTTTGCAGGCTTGAACTCTGAAGAGAGAAAACACGACAGATCTGGCAACTGCTCTAGAACAGGGGAGGGCTCGTTTGCATCTTCAAAGCTCCTTCCTGTGAGAAACTACAAGAAAACCCACCGTGCGCCAAAATACTCCCAAGCGAGGGGCGAAAGGCAAAACAGAAACCACGACACGTATGAAGGAATTCTCACCTCTGCTGCCATGAAAGCCAGCGTGTGCATGCCATGGGTGTAGCCAATAATCCCACAGACGACCGCTAAGCCACAGCAGGACAGGAGCATGGCGATCAGCAGGGTCAGTACTCTGATGTGGCTGCTCATGGGGGTGGTAGGAGAAAAGGAAAGCTGCAACACAAACACATAAACGCATAAATACGTGCCAGGTTTAAAGGGGTACTTCATCCACCCTGCCTTCCACAGTCACCTCGCCAAACAATGGAAAAACTCTTGCTTTCTACAACAAAACTGATTTCACGACCTCAACCAGGCAACACAGCAAAAAATGACGCAGGATAAAGCTTAAAAGAAACACCATCCCAAAGCCTACGTCGTCTCGCTTTTACATCCAGCAGGCTCTTAAAGCCAGAAGAGAGCATCAGGATTGTTCGTTCGAATGTTTAGATCACCTGCACAAGAAAACCATGAGTGCTTTCTCACATGGCAGTTTCTCCATCTGCTTAGGATGAGAGTTTTAGAAGACATCTAACCTTACTAGCCAGTCTTTGAGCAATGAGAAGAGTTGTTTTGCCAATTTTCCACTTTACAGCTGATCTCCATTCATCCAGCTTTACCTTCTAACATCTGGTTCTTCCAGTGTCATTTTCCTCTGGAAGAAAGAGACATCTCCCCACAAAATTTAACTTGCAGCTAGAGACTGCTGGATGGAGTCTACTGAAACGAGTTGTCTCGTTTGACAGCATGCACAGCATACTAATTTGCTAACCTACCATAATGGCAGGCTACACCTAGGCTGTCTGAAAAGATGACCCAAGAGGCAAAATATTTAGGTGGTCTGTCTCCTTGTTTTCAGGGCAGGAAGGGGAAGACCAGGACAAGGGAAGAAGGAGTTTCCCAAAGCCTCACTCCGGTCTGACTGACGAAGTTGACTCTCGTGTTTTGTTTTTAAATTGGTTCTTTCTTCCTCGTTTACATCTGGTTCAGTTCCCTGAGTTTGCAAGGCAGATCACACAAGGACCATTTGTCCAAGTAAAGAATTACGATACATGCTTTGAATACAGAAGGAATATAATAAAGATTTCTTCCCACGTGAGCTTTGTTCCTTCCCAGCTTTCTGAACATTAAAAATACCAGATGACTGCCTTGTTTACTGCTGTCTCCATTTTCCTAACCCCAGCCAATCCAGTTTCAAGCTCCATGCTTAACTTCCTGCAAATTAACAGGCCCTACTGGATATTAATGAACAAAACAGCAAAGCACAGAGTTACCAAAAGGAAATCCATGTATTCAATTTAGTTCAAACTCTTATTCCAGGACAGGGGAGCTTAGGAAAATGCATGTCCATTATAGACGTTTAAAGGGCAAGATTTACTGTTCAAATTCAGCTCCTTCTTCCTTGCCTAGCCTTCAACTTCTGCAACTCTACGGAATTTATTCTTGGTATTAACCACAACTGGGATGCAGCTTACAGAGAAAGTTGCACTGTGTATTGTAAAAAAATTGGCATCAGCGTTTGGTAGATGTAAATGAGCCTGAAATCCGAGCACAGAACCCGCAGGAACAGGCTTCATGGTTCCAGTCCTAAAGGGCACCAATCTAAGGGATGTTCTGTTATCAAGATCTCTTCACTAAGGAGAGCTACAAAGACATCTCACAGAGTTATGTAACAGTAATTACAGGGCACATATAAGGAGCAATTTATCAAAGAAAATAAGTAGCTTCAGCTCCATTTGTCTCATGGGAAATCTGAAGGAGTAAGATTGACATTCCACTTTAAAGCAAGTATTTGAAGCTACTGAGAGGTGCACGTGTTCAGCACCGCAGGGAGGGGAAAAGGTCTAAATGATCTGTTTGTAACTTGTCATGAACCAGTGCCCAAAGCAGAAACGGAATTTGCATGGCCCAAAAGACAGCCCTTAATCAGAACTTACATATTCAAATCGATCCTTGCAGAGCTGAACCATAAGATGAAGAAACACAAGCCCAGAAAACCACAGGCACCACATCACCACTTCTTCCACCGTCTGAACATTCAGCACACCAAAAATGAAGATGAACTTGTAGAAGATGAAATTCCAGAATTTATCCTTGAGATGCTGTAAAGGAAGGCATTTGGTTACTGCGGTGAAAGTACTGATACAACACATGCAGGCGAAGAGGAGGGAAAACAAACGAAAAGAAATGTGAGCAGAAATGCGGTAATACGTTAGTAAAAGCCAGCTGCATACACATCTTGGATAGTATTTGTTACTCTTACTGAGTTAAAAATAGATTAGAAATATCAGCGATCCTGAGCATCTCAGTCTTTTGTACCACCTCAGCGTAACTGAGGAACACAGCACACAACTTCTAAAACAGCTGCTTGGCAGAAACCAAGTTTGATCTCAGTTTGACCCTCCACACCCAAGCAACACAGCTACTGGGCCGCAAACACAAAGTGCTTTTTGCTAGAACTGCCACGGTTTTACGGGATGCCCAAAGAGCCTAGCACCTTGCTTCCAAAAACCTGTCAAAAAGTACAGATGATTAAGAAAGGATGACAAAGTCTGCTCTTAAAAAGCACAATGAGTGCAGTGGAGAATGAGATGGATGAGCAATGAAAGAAAAAAAAAATTATTCCCACGCAGTAGGAAAGAAATTATGTGATGGTCTCAAGCAGCAGACAGCAAGCCAGCTTGTTCAGGATTAAAAAAAATTATGAAATAAAATGTTTTCTTAAAGAATACAGTGAAGTCACCAGAAGTTTAACTAAGACAGGCCCAGAATTCTTTCATGATGCCGCCGTTTTTGGCTTGCCAATGTTAATAACGAGCTCTCCTTTAGATGAGAACTGAAGCACACTCCCACTGTCCAAACACAAATGGATCCACACTGTTCCTGCTTTTCACTTCAGTTTTTAAGACAGTAGAGAACATCCTGGAAACGATCACTGGTTAAAATTCCACATTCTTAAGAGTCCACAGGGACTGGAAAGAAAATCTGGCCCAAAGCAGTTTGATAGTGCCTTCTTTTTAACACGCTCCACTCGGAGGCTCTACGGGGTGTGAACCACAAATACAATAGGCTTTGAGAGATCCATGGTTATTACTGAAGCTCTCTGTGTCTCAGTTCTGCATATGAAAAATCATCATGGCCTCATTTCTCCTAAAGAACTGCATTTTAACATCTTCTTTTAAAAAAAATATGCGAACATGCTTCAAACCACTGCTACCGCACTCAGAGAGAGCAACTCAGGCATTTGCCTTTAAAAAAAAAAAAAAAAGGATAGATAGGATTCAAACTAGTGCTGCTGCTTTTATCTTCTGCAGAAACTTGTTTTTAAAAAGCCTGGGCTTTAATGGTTCCCTTGCTGAATTTTTAAAAACATTCTCACCTACCCCAAGGACTAAACAGCCTGAGTTTTCAGCCCTCCTTACCTCCTTCTCTCTGCACATATGCCTGCCTGTCGCCTCTTACACCTGGGGGTAGAGAAACCATCCACCCCTAACAGTCAAGGCACAAAATAAAGTATAAGGGGGAACTCAGACTGCCAGTGCCAAAAACTACTAAACCCCAGGGAGAAATGCTGCCAAGGGCAAACTGAACAGAGAGGAACACGTGTCCTAAGTATTCTGAAATGAGTTGCACTTGTAAGAAATCTGACAAAGCTCATTAAGGAAGTGGCATTTTCAAGTTGACTGTGGGCTTCTAAAATACAGTAGGAACAGTGAAAAAAGAAAAGCTCCCTTGAGAAATAAACTGTGGCAGTGGATACACTTGTCAACCAAAAGGTAAGATTTCAGTTTAGGCTGTTCTAAAATTTAGTTTTCTCGGGTGCTTTCGGAAATCCCATATGGAAAAATCACACCAGTCATACACCAAGAAATTACAAAACATAACAACATGCGAGGCAACGCAGTGCTGTCTCACCTGCCTCTCGCTGACACGAAGAGGACCAAACACCATGCACTGGATGAGCTTAGCAACGAGCATCAGAAAACAGCAGGCAGTGTTCACTAGTACCTGCAAAGAAATAAAGCAGTCAGCAACGAATACTTTCGCCCTACTTAGAAGCAAGGGGAAAGGGAGAGAGAAGGGGAACGAACGAGTCTAACAAAACCCACCATTGTTCACAGAACAGTACGAGTTGCCTTTTTTTTTTCTAGTGCGCGTGTGAAATTTGAGCCTGGCCTCTTCCAAGACACGTATAATAGCTGATAAGTATTTTTTTTTTGTAGAAGTACTGACACAGCCAGTTTGACAAACCAGCATACCCAACAAACGAACCCACCTCTTCACAATAAATTGCTTTATATAGATTAGCAAATTTCCGCCCAAAGGAACACGGGGGACAAAAACTTTCACGTTGCCAAGATGCTCATTTTGTTGAGCATAGAGCAGATGAGAAAACTCCAGTCTGAATCTGTTGTTACAGGAAGGAAGAAGATTCAGCCGTTGTCTCAAAACATACCGAACAGCACACCCCTTCCGTAACCCCACTGCTGAAACCCTTCTGGGGAAACTGCTTTAAAGCAGGGCAGCAAGGAGCACAGAAAACAACCTGCAATTAACTTCTGACCTACGCAGAACACTTAAAAGGGAGACAGGGTGTGATGAAGCTGCCTCACCCCCATCATTGCTAAAGGGCACACAATCAGCTTTTCCAGGGCTCTTAATTGAAGGTCCCGAGACCAAGTCCAAGCACGCTGGACGCGTCCGGCGTAGTCAAAACCCAGCGCCTCTGTCAGTGGCTATGGAGCACAGCAGGTGTGGAGCCAGCAGCAGGCCGGACCGGCGGGCACACGAAAGCTCCGCAGCAGCAGCTCGGGGT